GCATGGAAATAGACTGCAACAACTCTTCCTCATCACAAGTTTGGCTACGTATCTCACAAATGGGGTATAAGCCAGACCACGCAACAGTTTGGGAATGGGTCCATGTAAATCATATATATATACACACATACAGATATAATGTCACAGAATATTATTTGGGCAATAAGGATACAAAAAGAGTTTTAGAAGTTTCGTGAGAAGTTCCTGAGACCCCACAGAACTTCCTTGAGGACTATTTAAGTTCTGTCTTCCTTGGTTTCCTAATCTGTAAAATGGGAATAACATCACCTATCTCCCAGAGTTTCCCTGAGGAAAAAAGGAATTAAAGTTTGTAAAATGTTTTACAAACATTAAATTACTATACAATGGCTTGTTGCTGTTGTTGTTGTTACCTTTAATATCCTTGCTTTTGATTTTTGCCCACCCTTACCTTCCTGGACTACTTTTTACCACCATGGAGACTGCTTTCCTGAAGGAGGGGGCAGTGGTTGGATATCTTTTTATTAAAGTAATAGTTTATTTGAACCCTGATGTCTAAGGGATCCACTAGATGTGGAACCAGGCCCAGGATCTGAATAAAAAAGCAACCAATTCTGCAAAGTCTCCAGAAATGATGATGGAAAAACTCCAATAACCTCAAGAATGGTTTAAAAGAACAATGAGAGTTCATTGAAAATTAAAAAAAAAATAAGATAAAAATTAAATCCCTTAAGGAAGAAATCAACAAGTTGTAACTTAGCTTTCACAGAAGGCATTACTGTCCATCGACATGACAATGTGTATCAATTTCACAGTAATATTTTAATTTCTTGAAATCTATACCTCCTATAAAGTTCTAGCCCTAATGGATCTTTTATTTCCCTTCAAAATTCCCCATTTCTATAACCTCAGAATTATCCTTGCCTCTTAACTCCACTTCAACTTCCATATTCTATCAGCTGAAGAGTCTCAATGATCCAACCTCCACCACACCTCTGTCATTTATTGCTTCAATTAACAAGCATTCACAAATGTCAAGCACAATGCAAGGTGTACTGGGAACATGTATACAAAACTTATACTTTCCCTGCCCTCAAGAAATTTACATTCTATCCAAGGGAGAAAACATGTACTTTAAATGGATCAGAAAAGACTTCATGTAGAAGGTGATGCATAAGCTGAGCTTTGAAAGAAACTAAGGATTCTAGGTGGTTGAAGTGAAGAGGGGGGATATACACAGTGCAAATGCAAAGAAATGGGAGATGTAATGTCTTGTGTGAAGATCAATAAGGCTAGTTTGGATGAACAGTAGAGAGTATAAAACAAAGTTCCGTATAATTAGACTGGAAAGGCAGAATAAAACCATATTGTGAAGGGTTTTAAATGTCAAACAATGGCATTTTTATTTGATCCTAGAAGCAATAGGGTGTCACCGGAGTTTACTAAGAAGGAGACACAGCCAGATAGGGGTTTTAGTAAATCCACTTTGGTAACTATGGGGAGGATGGACTGGAGAGAGAGTAGAAGCAAAGGAGACCAGGTTAAGAGGCTGCTGGAATAACTAGGCTACTGGCCGTGGAATAAAGAAGAGATATATCCAAGACATTGTTGTGGTAGAATTAGTGAGCCTTGGCAGCTGTTTGGATATATGAAGTGAGGTATGGTAAGGAAGGGTCAATGATGACTCTGAGGTTGACCAACCTGGATGACTAACAGGATGGTGCCGCACTTACTAGAAAAAGGACAGTTTGGAAGTGGAGTGAGTTTGGAAGGAAAAGGTATGTTCTTTGCACAGGTTGAGTTGGAGATGCCTACGGGACATCTATTTTAAAATGTGCTTATCATTTCTCACTTGAGCTATAAGTCTCATAGTTCTCCAGCTCCTAAAGTGATTTTCTTAAAACACAGATCTGAACCATGTCTGTCTGTGTCAATCTCTCTCTCACATACACACACATTTCACACGTACACACAAAAAGTACACACACATGCATACACCCCTTATCCATAGTAATATATAAGATTGTCAGCCTGGCATTCAAGACCATCCACAATCTATTTCCCATTTATGTCTTAGTTCATATTACTTCCCTTCATACACTATTTATTCCAATCAAATTAGCCTCCCTCCTATTCCCTTTCCCACCTTTGTACTTTTGCACAAGTTGTTCCCCATGCCTGGAATGCAATCATTCCTCAACTCTAGTTTTTTGGGTGTTTTTTAGGTTTTTTTTGTTCTTTTTTTAAATTTAAATTTATTTTTTATTTATAAAATAAAATAAGCATTTCTATAACATAGCACAATAAAGATAAATACATATGAAACCGCAAATTCACTATGTACAACTTCCTATTTCTTTTAAATACATAAGGTTATTGTGTAAATTTCATTTTTTCCCCTTCCTCCCCCCCTCCCCAGAGATGACTACCATTAGACACAAAAAGGGGTGTGTGTATTATCTCTTTCTCCTCAACTCTAACTTTTGGAGTTCTAGCTTCCCTCAACACACAGCTTAGGCACTACCTTCTACACAAGCCTTCTGATCCTTACCATTGTGGACAATCTCTCCCTTCTGAAATTATTTTGCACTATTTTCTATGTACCTGTACATACTGATCAGTGTACATATTATACCCTCCTAGGAAGTTTCTTAAGGTCAGAAAAAGCTTTGATTTTGCCTTTGTACCTCTAACTAGTCTAGAACAAGTCTTATTATATTTATCAAGCATGTACTATGTACAAAGCATTGTGCTCAGTTATGGGGATAAAAGAGAAAAAATTTAGTATTTCCTGACCTTAAAGAATTTTATATTCTCCTGGATGGAGAGAGGAACAGATACAAAATGTACAGATAAGTAAATATAAGGTAATTTAAGGAGGAATATCACTCTTATAGACAGGAGGGTCAAAGACGACTTGACAGAGAAGGATTCATGAATTTGCTGAATCTTTTTTTTTTAAAACCAAGAACTATAGTCAAGAATCTCTTAAATTCAAAAATACATTTTTTCAAAGTTTCTAAGTTTTACAGAATTAATTCATGATTTATTCCCCAAAATTAACATTTTCTTACAACTTACATGAAGATAAGCCGTGTATATGTAGCAAATATTTTTGCAAAATAAAAATCAGTACGCTCTGAAAAGGTTCCAATAATTACAGCTTCACTGGCAATAAACACTTCCAAAAAGAAAATATGTCCTATGGGAGATATATACCCTATTCACGTTAGTGTGAATTACTTTAATCAGATTAACACCTAATCAAAATTCCTATCAGTCAGAACATTTTTATTAGGGGCAAATGACTGGATTGTAATAAGTAATCGTAGATAGCCAGAAGACAGCATAGTGAAACCAAACATCTGGAAAAGCAGGGGGAAAAAGCAACAGGAAATGTAAGAATAATTCAAGAAGTGAGATATTAGGGCAACAAAGACATTGCATATTTTATAATTTTGCCTAGCACCCATGGGGTATTCATGTGCCAATAAAAAGAACACCCCTGTTGCCTTTGGCACATAGGCAATTCTCTGAGGCTCAAGTAAATAAAAAGTAAAATAAGTGAATAAAAAATAAAATTAAAGGCCTAATTTGGAAGGCTTCAAAATTATACCTCTCCTCAATTCTTCATAGTCCATTTAGGTCTATTTCAGCCCAATAACTCCCAATCTAAATCTTGCCCTTTTCCTTTTGGGGGGCATTGATGGTGGAGAAAAAGTAAAAGACAGAGATATATATGGACACCTTATTCTTCTTTCCTTCCCACACATTATCATTAGTATAGTATTTGAGATATGCCTTTATAAACAAACACCTTAGACTTTCCTTGTCCCTCTCCACCCCTAAAATACAGAAAAACTGAATTTGATTGTACATGGAAATTTGACATAAGCACTGTGATTGTGGCTTCTTTCCATTTAGCCCCTATACCATGGTTAAGGAAATGCATGAAAATAAAATACTGTGTACCATTGCCAAACATTTCTCTCCCCCTGTTCCACCTTGGCAATTTTCCCTAGGCTTCTGCCATCTACACCATTTACCCAGTACCTCAGGAACTAGATTAAAAGTAATTGGAAAATATCTGACAAAATAAATATACAATAGAACACAGTGTTAAATGTGGTTTTCTAAGTCAATATGCAGCCCCTACTGTTTAGTGGCCCCTGTTTCTTTTTGAGTTTGACACCACTGATCTACATTATAAACATGCTATATTTGGAATCCATTGTACATTGTGAGTTCTGTGGTTCCTTCCCCACCCACCTCCCTTCCTCAAGTAAGGAAGTTGGGAATTCCAAACACTTCTAGTCAAAACTTTTTCAATGGCTGCTAAAAGTGCAGTGCGTAAAAATGTGTATTAGTAAGGCACACAGGAAGTCTGAGAACTACTAAAGTTTGCATATTTTTTAAGTAATCAAATATATTAGTTCTCTAAAATAATATTCTGTAGATTAAGTAGAAATATATATATATTAATAAATTACTTTATGATACACCTAAAGTACAGCTTTTTAAAATAAAGACACTTGCAAAGGCACAAATATTCTTCTGTGTTTTATTGTAGTCAAATGACATTAACAGAAGAAATATACATTTTATTTTTATTTTTTTAATCCATTGATCCTTCCCAGCTTGGCACACATTTGTAAACATGAAGTTCATAAAATCAGTTATCGAGAATTACAAAGGAACTAAAATCTGACCATAGCATAATGTATCCTCAGTTTCTAGTATTCTATAAATAGATTATCATATACAAAAGATTTATCTTTCCCATTCACCAATCTTATGTTACTTCCAAGTTTCCTTAAAAAATATGGCTTTATAAAAATATTCTACAATTCACAGCATGAATTGAGAATTTTTTGATTACACATATCAATTCTATATCACCCATGTCACAGCTTTAGAGGATTATTGCTTTCCTTACCAGTTTATAGCTTATTGTTTTTGAATATATTTCATATGTAGTTAGCATTCCGAACTTATTAAAATAATACTCTGCTCACTGCATGTCAAAAACACAAAACAGATTTTAGTTCTTTTTTTTTCAGCAGAAAATAAAGGTTTCTCTCAGAGACAGTATTTAACATACTTGAGATACGTGCCGGTCAATTAGAAGGCAACTACATTTATGACTTACTTCACTAATGTTTCTCTACAAGTGAAGTTTTCTCCACCTCTTTTTAACAGACAAAACAATCTATTGTGTTTTTTAACCACAAGCAACAGCTTCTGAGCCAAAATAAACATAAAATGATGTAACAAAAAAAAAAAAAAGAACTTACATGGTATGAAATAGCAACATGCAACAGACTACATATCAATTTAGAAAAATGTTAATCAAAATAGGTAGATATAACTGACTTTGAAAGAGTTTTATTCTTAACATCACTGTATATTCAACAGCTAAGTACTTTTAGCTTAAGCAAACTTGCCAAAGGCAAACAAGCATTCAATTATATACCAGCAACTTCTAATGCTAAAATTTCAACAGTAGATTAAAAATACAGCTAAGATCCTATCAGTCTGTTGGAACAAAATGTGTTTCATAAATTAGCTTACATTTTGCCTACATATTTAAAATGTCATTTTCTTCAACACACTGAAAAATAAGTTTATCTTATGTATAAGAAATTCCAACCTTCATATTTAATAGTTTAAGCCATTTTCTAAATAGCCAGTTAAACAAATAGTACTTTACAAAAGCTTCATTTTTGCACTTTTAGCAGAATGCTTGAAATTCACGTTGATAAAAACCAGTGCATTTCAAAATTTCACAGCTCACATACTTGTTAGGGTTACTAATTAAGGGTGCTGACCAAAATGGTCCTTAGCAGTTATAAAATGATTTTTAAAGCATCCTACACTTAAAACAGTTCACCCAAATTATTCTCAAATTTTGCTGCTAAGTACACATAACAAAATATACATTAAAAAACTTTCAAAAGTCTATAACTGCTATATTATTAATAGAAGATAAAGAACTACTTGAAGATCACACATAAATGCTTAAGATAACTCTTACAAGAAAAAAAAGAGGCAAAACAAAACCAATGAATGCATTGAATTTGACACCCGTCCCCCCCAAAAAAAATGAATACAGAAAGGTAGATATAAATTACTTCTAAAATGTTTGTGTGTGTTTTATTCGTGTTCTAATATGACAGTTGGCTATCACTCCTTTAAGATATCTTAGTGTTCCTTCCCAAAGATACTGATCTCCTTAGCAATCACTTCACAAGAGCTATCATAGCCATCTGTTCCCCGTGAGGTTATGGCTGGTCCTCCTGTAGTAGGGACAGTCTTTTTGAAGCTTTAAGTATCTGTGAAAATAAGGGGAGATCTAAATTAAAGGACCAACCAGACACAGAATGTAATATCACTCCATTTAAATATTTACTTAAAACACTAAAAAATATCAAAGTGTAAATGCTTTTTACAGAGGAAAACTTTGCAACAAAATAGTTACTTGCTAATAACTATCTGTTATGGGAGGATATCAGCTAAATTAGGTAGGAGTATAAGTTGTGAGATTATATTAATCAGTCTATAGCCTTTGAATTTTGAATTCCTTGATTTTCAAATAAAACAAAAGGTTTTGTTTTTCTTTTTGGTTTTGTCCTATGCCTAATCAGTGTAGGTAGCTACCTTTGTGGAAGTTCCCTCAACAATTCAACTGTAAATTATAGTCTTATAAAATTTCCTGAGGCACTGAGAGTATAAATGACATGATCATAAAACTAGTATGAGCCAGAAATAACACTTGAACCCAGATCTTTCTTACTCCAAGGCTGAACTTCTATCTACTATGTCATGTTGCCAATCCAAAGTTAAGGATGGCTGAAATTAGAGAATTTCAATTGACCAATGAAAGGCAATTACTGGTATTTATTCATTTATTCTTCTCCTCTCTGGTGTTTTCAGTTAAAGGTAAAGGAAATAATAAGAGAAAAGCCTAGAACAATATTTTAAAATTGTGCCTTGTATGTCTGAGCAGTTAGAGAGAATAGCCACAGTTTAAGTATCCTAACTAAAATCACACCATTTCAGTTTAAATGACTGGTAGAAAGAGAAAATGCTCAATAGAATGGAAATTCAACAAAATATTTCCTGTTTGATTTCTAGTACCTGGTTTTCATTTAAAAGTTCTCTTTTATACTTTCTCTTTCAGCATGTTTCCCCCCTAAAATAGTATCATGATCACATAGGTTCTTCTTAAAATAAATTAAATGACAAAATTCAAAGAGAAACACTTAATGGTAAAATACAAAACATTATTCATAGATTCATAGGACCTAGGTTGGAGAATTAGTTCTGTCAATTATTTGATCTTTGGTAAGTAACTAAACGAGTTGGAGAAGGAAATGGCAATACCACTCCAGGAACTTTGCCAAGAAAACTCCAAATGGAGTCACGGAGAGTCAGACATAACTGAAATGACTCAACAATTCCCACCAGTAAATGAGCATCTCCAGGCTTCTTTCCAAATTCCTAAAATGAAGGATTTGTACTTGTCCATCTCCAACATCTCCTTTCAGCTCTGATTCTATTATCCTAGAATACATTTTTAACTTTAGTCTAGTTAAAAGCAAAGGTCAGTTACCCATAGCTCTTTAAAATTAAAGAATACAGTCTGCTTATGTGTAGACTTTTCATCAGTCCCTAAGTAGACCTTATGGAATAAGGTTAGAAGAGTTCATGCATCTGATAATGCATACAATATTCTCTCTTTCCTATTTCCTACTAACTCTCAGATATAAGGGAGAAGGTGTGTTTCATTATTTCATTATCTGTTTTTAGGGGCTATAATTGGATTTTCAATTATGTAAAATCTGATTTCCTTTAATTGATGTTTTCATTTACAAAGTTGTAATCAATGTGTACATATTATTCTATTGGTTTTGTATCAATTCCTACAAATCTTGCCACAGTTCTTTTAATTTTTAGCTATTTGTCATTTTTAATGAGATATTTCATTACATTCATATACAATAATGTTTCAATAGAAACCTACTTTGTTTCTAGTTCTTTATTTGAAAATACAGAATAGATGGACTACTTCATAATTTCCCTAAAGTGTCTCTATAATACTGATCAATCCTTAATTTTTTTATCTTTGTCAACTTGGATGAGATGATGTAAAACCTTAGGGTTGTTTTAATTTGCTTTTATCTCACTATTAGTGATCTGGAACATGTTTTCAAATGGTCATTTATACCTTGCAATTCATCTTTTGAAAACTGTTCATATCCTTTAATGTCTTACCTACTGAAGAATAGCTCCTGGTGTTAGAACTCAGGTGAATTTCACATATTTTGAATATCAGACTTATCAGTGATATATGATGCATAAATTTTCCTACCCAAGTGTTTCTCCTACTGTTTTCATTTCTGTTATCCATGCAAAGATTTTTTTTTTCACTTTTGTATAATCAAAATGAATTCTTTCAAAAAGGATAGTGGAGAGGCACATAGTTGTGATCAGGCTGTGACACAACTCATGTTGTTCAAAGAAAAACAAGAAAAGGATATCAACAGGGAAATGTGTTTTGGGAAGAGAGGATGGGCTGATCATATGGCAAATGAAAGACAGAGCAGTTGAACAGTACAAGTACTTTATTAGTATCTGTGTAAAGTTAAGGAAAAGGCTTCTGGCATGTTGAGTGTCCCACTTTTGCTGAATTCATAGAAGGACACAAAGAGTTGAGAATTGCATGATTGACCAGACTGATGAGATCACAGATCTATTTGACTATGGAGTAGTCAAAATTGTCTGTTTTATCCTCTATGATTTCTCCTATGCTTTCTTTTTTTTTTTTAATTTTTAGGCAGTTGGGGTTAAGTGACTTGCCTAGGGGCACACAGCTAGTAAGTGTCAAGTGTTTGGTCTGAGGCGGGATTTGAACTCAGGTCCTCCCGATTCCAGGGGCCATGCTCTATCCACTGCACCACCTAGCTGCCCCTCTTCTATGCTTTCTTAGAACAGTTTCTGCAGTCCACAGTTGTAAACGGCACCTAATCTTATTCTCTTCTAATTTTTAATGACACTTTTTATATTCAAGCTATCCATGTTGAGCTTATTGTGGTACATGATACAAGATGTTGGTCTAAGCCTAATTTCTACCAAACTGCTTTGCATTTTTCTCAGTTCTTGTCAAAAGGGGAGTTTTACTCCAATAATGTGTCTACTTGGGTTTATCAAATACAAGACTACCATTTTGTTTTGGTTTTTTGTTGGTTTATTTGTTTGTTTTGGTGAGGCAATCGGGGTTAAGTGACTTGCCCACAGAGTTAGTATCATATATCTGAGGCTGGATTTGAACTCAGATCCTCCTGATTTCAGGGTTGGTGTTTTATCCACTGCACCATCGAGCTGCCCAAGGATGAGTGTTTTTGACTATTTACTTTGGTTTGTTGCCAATCAAGTCTGTTCCACTGATGAACTTTTTTTTTAAACCAGTATCATAGAAGTTTGAGGACTATTTATAATACCATTTGAAATCTGGTAACATTTATTCATACTTTTCCCCAACATTTCCCATGATATGTTTGTTCTTTGTTCTTCCAAATTAATTTAGTTATCCTTTTGTCTAGGTCTAAAAAGTATCCCCCAGGGCCTAATTCCTTATTAGTAAGATGATGCAGCTTACTCAAGTTAACAATATATCTCTCCATTATCTCTGGATGATTTTCAACCTAAAATGTTTGAATAATTCTCTGTTCTATGCCTCATAGCTCTACACCATCACCCAAAGAATTCTGGTATTAAAAATATGGGTCTGTTTTCAGGGAGATATTTGGGATCATTAAAATATCTTTACAATCCTCAAAGACAATCCAGCTTGCACTCTCCTCATCCTCCTGTTCAATGTGGGGCCCAATTCATTGTCCACCTGCATTGTCTGTCCACATATACTGATGAATTAACTCTAGGATATCTATCCTATTTCATATGACAGTCTAGAATATATTCATTATTCACTTGGTTTCTCCAGTGTGGATAGGTGGTCAGATTCTTCTGAGTGATTTTTGGGTATTGTTTATTAAATTCTGAAGTGTTCTGGGTTGATGTTATCTGCCCAGTATCATCCACAAATAAATATCTTAAGCACCTCAGCACCTAGAGTGAATCCATGTTCAACTTAGTTACATATACCTTCTCAATAACAGTGGCAAACATCTTTGATGAGCACAAATCTTCCTATTTTATGCTTCATATGATATTACTGATCAGAGCGCCTTTGAATGAGGCTCTATTTGTGGTTACTGATTTCACAGATGCTTTTGATTCTTTGATGACACATGCACGAGTTACACTTTTGGAGGACAACCTTAAAAGAGACCAAATCAAATGCTTGTTTGTTTTTAATAAACAAGAAGTACACTGGCATCTGATATTCTGTGCATCTTTCAAGCAACTGTGTGTATTCTTCTATGGAATACTGCTTATGAAAATCCATTGGCTCCCTTCTAATTCTGTCATCAATGCAGCCCTTGTATATATAGATTATTTTTTATAAAAATTGTACGTAGATAGGAAGGTAGGTATACTGGTCAGCCGTTTTCAGGTTTCTCGCAATCATCTGTCTTGGAGTAATGATAAGATATTCTGAGATTTTTTTTTTCTATGCCTTTGGTAGCTTCCCCTCCAGATACCTTGACAACTGACTTCAATTTCCTCAAGCCCAGGTCAATTCAGGCAGATTTTCTCTATGAATATTTGGGTCCACTCCAGTGGTTTTTCTCATTATTACCCTTTTAAAATGTCATTTCCACTCCCCCTATGAAGACATCTAGGTAGACTCTGTCTTTGATGGTGGGAAAAAAGTTGGGAAATATATCTTTCATTTACTTATTGTCATTACAGTTTGATAATTAAATGCTCTTGGAATGACTTTGCTTAGTTGGAGCTTTTCCCAAAATTTCTATGAATTATTACCCCTCCGCACCCCCCCACCACATTTTTCACTATCTTATAATGTAATATTGCTCCTAATTTTTCACCATCCTTATTCCTATGATCTACAAATGAGCTTATATTCTAAACCAGTTGTTGTCCTTGGTTATATCTAACACTTTTCAGGATCTTCTGGTCTCATTAGGGCAACTGATTTGGATTTATTAAACATCTATGTGAAATTTCTGTAATTTGTGCCTGTTTGTATTTTCATCCATTCATTTCCTATATTTCATGTCAACTATCTATTTAAATAGGTCAGGATGGAAGTGTTTTAATGCATGCTGTATCTCTAAACTTTATTCTTCCTGCTAGCTCTGTATTTTGATTTTTGCCCTAAGGAATCAATAGCCTGACTATAAACAAA